CGGGGGGGGGGGGGGGAGGGACTGACGGAAGTGGGGAGGTGGGGAAGCGGGGAAGAGGGGGGCAGGGGGGCATCAGTCGCTTTTGCCGCTCGGCGGCGGCGAGGTACAGCGACTGCCGTTCGCGGTAGATGAGCCACACGTCGACAGCGAGAGCGTGGACCGAGACGAGGACAAGGGCGATGATAGCGACAAGGGTGAGGACAAAAAAGGTCGAGTCGGATGACGCCGCATCGCGCTCAGCGTACGACCCGGTGCCGATCATGAGAATGATAATGAGCATTACCGAGAGCCGGGTGTCCACCGCGTTGTAGAGCGGAAAGTAGTACGGCTCGTAGCGCGAGACAACAACGAGTGAGGTGGTGAGGAGCGCAAGCATGAGGCTGATCTGCAGGAGCTGCCGCGACGAGAAAAAGACGGCCAGAATGACGATGACCAGCCGCTTGACCAAGTTCGCCACTTCGCCCCAGTAGTACGCTTTGCGGTAGAGGCGGTAGAGGGTACCGAACCGGACGGTGACCGACGGCAGGAAGAGGATATGCCGCCGGCGGAGGAGGGCGATGCCAAAGTAGATCGGGAGGCCGAGGACGTAGACAACCAGCGCCACCAGGCCGACAGGAAGCAGCTCCCACCACTGCGAGTTGAAGCACTTGATGCCTGGGTTAGAATCGAGGACGTACGAGCCATCGGCCAGCCGCGTGCAGTCAAACATGATGAGCGCTGTCCGCGAGACGGGGATGTACAGCAGCGGTGCCAGCGCAAAGAGCACGGCGTCGACTAGGGTCCGGATCGAGACCGTGGCCAGCGGGGCAAGGCGAGTCACGTGGCGCGCGCCGACAACTTTGAAGCCTACGATGAACGCCAAGGTGACAAGGATTACAAAGAGTGGGAGCACAATCGAAAAGGCGTACTTTGCGTGGAACGATTGCAGCGCACACTCGGTGGCAAACATGTCGACGTCAATGTTGAAAACGTTGAAGAGCCGGAGCGATGCCCGCGACGCGTCCGACCACGCAAAGTTGGCATCGGCAAAGATGCCGACGACCTGAAAGGCCACAAGAATCATCGATAGTGACGCAGGCATCATATTGGTGCGGAAGAGCCGGATGAGCTCGCCCGATGCCTCGCCAGAGTTGCCCGTCCGCGCTTGGGCCGCCACTACCCGCAGCGTCCGCCACACCAGCCCGCAGGCCATTGCCGTCGCCACCACGAGCACAAGTACAAAGAGGACGACAAAAATGGCCGACGAGCCACGTGGGCACCGCTCGCACTCGGACGCCGTGTTGGAAAAGTAGCCCGGCTTGCAAACGGTGCACATGTAGCCGGTGTGCCCGTCGGCGCACGCTCCGGCGCCCAGACACGCCTTGGTCCGCGGACAGGCTACAAAGGCGCCCGAGTTGGGCGCCGTCTCAAAGTATCCGGGATTAGCAATCGGATAACCGGTCCCGCCGCTGCACGTTGCAAACGGCGGGTACTGCTGGCACGCTGCGCCGGCCTCGGCTGACGGGTGCCAGTCTCCACCGAGGCAGGTGCAGTTAGCGGCAGATTCGGATCGTGCCGGCGCGCCTGTAAACTCTGGGCACTCGCTACACTCAAATGAGCCTGCCGCCGCGTAGGTGTTGACTGGACATTCGACGCATGGACCGGTTGCCTGCACAGCCCGTGTCCCAGCCGGGCAGACCGCTGTCACTTCGACCAGCCACGGCGAGTCCTTGATCGCCACGCCACCGCGCGTGATCGAGAGCACGTACAAGCCGCCAGTCGCCGCCGTGTACCGGAACGCCAGCTTGCCGTTGGCGACACTACCCGAGAGCTCTGGCACAAACTCGACAAGTGGATCGTCCACCGTCTCCGACTCCAGCACAGCCTCGAAGCCAAGAGCACCAGACAAGGCCTCAGCTTGCACGTCCGAAATGTGGATGATGTTGTTGTACGCATCGTGCGGGCTGATGTAGAACAGAACGGGTTGGCCCTGGATCACCGATGAGCCGATGGCCAGGCCGGGTCCGTCGGCCACAGAGTTGGCGGCCGCAGGCAGGCCTGGCTCGACCTGGATCTGGAACAGCGTCGAGCCGGCCAAGGACGCGATTGGGTTCAGATTGAGAAAGACATTGAGGTTGAAGACGCCAGCCCGACGAAGCGTCACTGCACCCTTCCACACGCTCAAAGTCGCGTCCCAATCGACTGTCGCGAGAGACGACGAGGTGAGCGTAATGGCCGTGCCGGCTGGCCGAACCACGATTCGGTCGACTGCCGACGTGATGACGGTGTTGTTGGCGTCAAAGACCTGAACTTCAAAGCTCCACCCAGGAGTCATGTCTGCGGAAAACGTCACTGTGTTGAGCGAGTTGACGCGCGAGTTCGACGACGATGCCGCCGAGCAGAATGGGACGACGTCGGACCACACGCCGCCAAACTCGCACGTCAGACTAGCACCGCCGTAGTGGGTAAAGCCGGGATTGCAGACGTACGGCCCACAGGTCTCGCCAAGACGACCATGGCACGGCGGAGCAACGCCATCAACCAGAGCCGAGATCGGGCAGTAGCCGTTTGTCAGCGAGCAGCTGGGCAAGGTGCCGACCCACGAAGGCCCAACTGCGCAGGTGAGCTGGTCATCACCGCTGAGGGTGTAGCCCGGGTCACAGGCGTAGGTGCACGCGCCGCCGATGACACGAGAGCAATCACCACGGGTCCCATTGCCAGGCGCAGGTGGACCCTCGCCGCAGTACACTCCATCGATGATGCAAGCAGGTTCGGTGCCGGACCACACGCCCGACGACGTTGTGCCGGCGAGGCATGTCCGTTCCGTCGAGCCAGTCAGCAAGTACCCAGTGTTGCAGGTAAAGCTGCACGAGTCACCAAGACTGTTGCCACACGCCAGGGCGCCGCCGTTATCCGGCGGCGGGAGGCCACTACAATAGCCGAATATCTTCGTGCATGATCCCAGTGACACATCCCAAGTGCTCGCAGAGGTGCATGTTGCCACAAGCGAGCCAGACGGCTCGTAGCCGGGCTCGCAGACAAATGTGCACTGACCGCCAACCGAACGATCGCACGCGGCAATAAAGCCGCTGCTCGGCGCGGGAAGGACTGGGCAGAATTCGGAATCAAGGGCGCATGATGGCGCGGTGCCCGTCCAAGTCCCGCCGGCATCTTCGCCGTCGACGCACGTTCGAACCGCATCGCCCAACAGGTCATAGCCCGGATTGCAGTCCGCCGGGCCGCAAACGGTGTTGAGGCTCTGGTCGCAAGCCGCGAGCGAGCCGTTGCCCGGTGCGGTGAGCAGTGGACAAAACTCTGGATCAGGGATGCACGAGCCGAACGAGTTCGACCAAGCCGGGCCCGCCAGGCAAGTCATCGTCTGGGCCTGGTCCGGCACATAGCCGCTGCTGCAGGAATATGAGCATGTGGCTCCAATCGAGCGCGCGCAAGTGTCCAAGACGGCATGAGACGGCGGTGTGACACTGGGGCAGTAGAACTCAATGGCATCACATGTTGCCGTCGTGCCAGACCAAAGCCCACCAGAGTTACACGTCCTGCTTGCCGTGCCGCTCACCTCATAGCCGGCATTGCATGTCACTGGCCCGCAGACTTCACCCAATGTGCCGGAGCACGCGCCGCGCGTGCCATTGCCCGGGATGGCGAGCGGAGTACAGTAGTTGGGCTGAAGTGTGCACGAGCCAAGCGCGCCTGACCAGCTTCTGTCGGACTCGCACGTGAAGTGATCGTTGCCCGCGAGCGAGTAGCCTTGCTCACACTCAAAGACACACTCGCCACCCTGTGATCCGTCGCAAGAGTAGAGCTCAAAATGCGGCGGAGCTGGTGGGACACTGGCTATTTCACAATACCCATTATCCTCGGTACAAATGGTCACGGTGCCAGACCAAACACCCGAGCTGCTCGACTCGGCGTTGCAAGTCCTTGTTGCCGAGCCAGCAGTGCGGACATAGCCAAGGTTGCATGTGTATGTAGCCTCACTGTTGATAGAGAGCGAGGGTACAGCAACCATGCCATTATGCGGCGGAAGAAGCGGACTACAGTAGCTGTCGATGGGCTCGCACGTCCCGCGGGTACCGGTCCAAGTCGGCCCCGCCGAGCAAGTGAGGCGGCCGGAGCCACCGACTATCTCGTAGCCGTCACTACACGAGTAGAGGCAACCGCCATCGATGGCACGGGAACACTCTCCCGTGACCATATTGGACGACGGCGTAGGAGATGGAGGGCAGTAGTTGCTTACTGGCGTGCACGCGGCAATCGATCCGTTCCACACGCCACCAAGCTGGCAGGTGCGGGTAATCGAGCCCGACAACGAGTAACCCGCGTTGCACACAAAGTCGCCGCAGACGTCACCGAGCGTGCCTTTGGCGGCGCACGATGAGGTGATAGCACCATTAGCAGGAGCCGATAACTGGGTGCAGTAGTTGCCGTCGAGAGAGCAAACGACATCGGTGCCGGACCAGCCTCTATCGCTCTGGCAGGTGCGAGAAGTCGAGCCAGACGAGCGAGTGTAGCCCGCGTTGCAAGTGAACACCCCGCACACTTCGGACACGGTCCGTTCGCACGAACCCGAGATGTAACCGTTCGCCGGCGGCGAGAGCTGTGGACAAAAGTCGGGCGTGGCGGTGCAGATCATTTCCATGCCTCCCCAGCTCTTGTCGCTCTTGCAAGTCCGCGAAGTCGATCCCATTGGAGTGTACCCTAGGTTGCAACCAAAGCTGCCACAGACAGCGTTGAGGCTGCGGTTGCAGGTGTTGGAAATGAAGCCATCGTCAGGCGGCGAAAGCAGAGGGCAGTATGAGTCGTCGGCTTGACATCCTGCAATGTTGGGAGAGGCCCAGACAGCGTTGAGGCGGCAATACCGGGAAACTTGGCCAGTCTGGCCGGTAGGACAGGGCCTGAGAGCCGTCTGACCCGCGTTGGTGACCGGCCATGCCCCCTGCGATTCACAGATACCTTGGTGGGCGCTAACGACCACGTTAATGATCGCCATGGATATAATCCAATCCCCGTCGGCCCGAGGTTTGGGCCACGCATGCTCGCGGGTCATGGGAGGTATGTCGAGACTCGAGGACCTCTCAGTAGGTGTCGATGCAGACGACTGCATGCCTATCATCTTCGGCCCGGCCCTTGATGCCTGTGAAGACGACGAGGAAATCTGAACCGAGTCACACTGATGATTGCCCGCAACACGAATGCCAACACCGAGATATCCATTGTTGAGAGCATCAACGAGTGCAGGCTGCGGGGCAGCGAGGCCCCACTTGTCGGATGACGAGCCGTAAGAAACCGGTGGCGGTGGCGGGCCATTGGGGAGGAGCGCGCGGTTTGCTGTCTTGGGTGACGAGTCGAAGAAAGAGGTACCAAAGGCCGATGCATTACGGAGGGTAACGAGTGTTGTCCTAGCCGTGCTGATCCCACAGCGCGACTCGTAGGAGTAGGGAATGTCGATCTTGATGCCATCGATAATGTAGCCCAGCGGGATGTTGAAGGCAAACCCGCCGTGGGCGTTCAAGTTGGAGGTAAAATCGCTTGCAGACGGGGATTCATCCGTCAAGACGCCAAACTGCCAATTGGCTCGTAGGCTCGTTTCGTACGCAAACACGTTGCCAGTGCTTGCGGTAAACGTGTTCGCTGTAGCAGTTCCAGCAATGAGCAGGAAAACGAGGACAGCGACCACAAGCTGCCGAGTGACGTGAGCGGCAGCACTTGCGGGGGGCAGCCGACATGAGACAGAACGCATGACAATGTTAGAATGAAATAGCTTGAGCTTGTTGAGCTTCTGCTGTAGGTGGGTGGGGGGGGGGAGGGGGGGGTGGTGGGGGGGGGGGGCCGAGAGGAGTAAGCGGAAGATGTTGCAAAAACTAATATTTCAGTCAGAAAAAGGTTTGGAGAGCCACCATGAAACACGATGGCCTGCTGCTGCTGTCGTGATGCGCGGGCAATGGTGGTGAAGCCAGCTATAGAGAGGAGGAGGGATGTCAGAGAGGGAGGGAGGGCGACGATACGAAATGTCGATGATGAGACGCAAATTGTGTCGATCGATGCCCTGGAGAGTAGTGCAGACAGGAAGGGTGCGGCAGCCATTGACATAGTTGCACAGCCACTCCATCACAAATCCTATGTTGATACCTCCGCTCGCGAGCATTTCGATAGATTGGTATATCAACGGCTCGTCGCTGCCGCCCATCGAGGTCGCCGATCGACGGACGGTCAGCCTGCGGTCGGTTGGTCGGCCAGTCAGTCGTCGGTCGGTCGGTCGGTCAGCCTGCGGTCGGTCGGTCGGTCGGTCAGTCGGCGGAGGAGGAGAAGGGGGCTGCCACCATAACAGCAAGAGCGTTTACCACGACCACGACCTGCACACACACGGAGGACACCCGACTTTGACACTCCATGTCGCTGTCAAACAAGCGCGGTCGCAGCAGTAGTCCGTCAGGGCACGGTGGCCAGCACCCGCCGCCCACAAGCGATGACGTAATGGTCGGTGGCGGTGGCGAGCCGAGCAAGCGGCAGAGGATGCTGGACGGCGGGCGGGCTGGGGCTGGGGCTGGGACCGCGAGGACTGCATCGTCGACAATGACTACGTCGTCGATTGCATCGGCTAGCTCTTCGGCTGGCGCGCCGACGAGCTCGTCGTCTGCTGTTGCGAGACATGGGGCCGGATCATCATCACGGCGGCCGGCTACAGGGGGGACTCCTCGACCGGGAAAGGGGCTGGTGGTACCAGAGGCGGTGGCTGCGGTGGCATCGCGCGTGGTAGCGGTCTCACAAAACTTGTCATCGCAGCCAGAGCACTACAATCCACTGCTGCTGGAAAGTCATTTGCTGAAGAAGATCATGGAGGCACACGCCGAGATGGCGGCTGCGGTTGCGTCGGCGGTGGCCGAGGGCGCGCCCAAGCCGGTGCTGGAGATCGAGGCCAAGCTTGGCTTCCTTGCCCTCAAGACGCTGCCGGACTCGCGAATCAACATCGGTGTAGGTGTCAAGGGTGAGATGATGCTCGACGACTCGCGAGTCATGTTCAACTCGACGGTCGCCTCGGTCTTTGACCGGTTCAAGAACCTGTTTAACCGGCTGGTCGGCTCGGGCAAGCTCACCCGGTATCACAAAAAGAGCATCGACCGCAAGTTTGAGCTGCGGCCGGGTGGGCCCAAAGCACGGGCGTCGTTTGACATCGACCCCGTGCGCGGCCTGGCCTCGCGGCCGTCATCCGTCATCCGCAAGAAGCGGCTCGGCGACATCGACGTGTGGTGCCCGTCAGCAGGCTTCGACCTCCGCATCTCGACCTCATCCGAGACCGCCCTCCCGCCCGAGACTGTCTCGGAGGCGACCCAGTTTGTGGCCCGCGACAGGCGCGAGAAAGAGCGTCGGACGTACACTTTTGGCGCGTGGCGCATCGACCTGACTGAGGTCAAGTACGCATCCGGAAACGTCTGCCGCGAGCTCGAGGTTGAGATTGTCGACACCGACTTGCTCTCCGACGCCATTGCCGCCTTTGCGCAGGGCTATCCTTCGCCGCTCTTCTCGCTTGTCTCCAAGTTTATGCATGTTGTCCGTCAGCTCGCGTGCATCATGGACATTCAGGTCGGCGACGCAGCGCCTCAGACCGCCGAGTGGGCCGCCATGCGCGCCAAGAACAACGCAGTGGCTCTGGCCGCGGCTAGCTACGCCCGCTCTCGTAGACGTCACAATTGAACGTTGTGCGCCTTGAGCATGGCGTCCAGAATGGCGTCCTGCTGCGCTAGAACAGCCGTCACGGCTTGATGCATGATCTCACGGTCCTTGCGCAACGCAAGCATGTACTGCCGCCGCGACGCCTCCATTGCCTGTAGCAATCGGCCTGCTGTGTCCTCGGACAGCATGCCCAGCCGCCGTTGGCGCTTAATCTGGCGTATCGCCTCATCGTCGTCGCCCTCGTCATCATCGTCACCGTCAAGATCCAGGGAGAGCTGGCGCGATCGTGAACTTGGCGACACCTGGCTACCGGTCGGCCGTCGCCGCTTTCGTGACGCCAGCAACTCGGAAACCTCGGCTACCGCCATCGTCGGTGGCAAGCTGTCGGCCAGCCGCGTGGTGCGGTTCAGGGCGTCGGCACCTGAACAACTCGGAGCATCGCTCACCGCATCCGACGTCATAGACTTCGCGGGCTGCTTACGCCGACTCGGCGAAGCCTTCCGAGCCCGGCGGTTTCGCTCAGCGCGATCCTTGGTGGTCTCTTCTACCCATTCGGAGCTCGAACTATGACTCGAGTCAGATTCGGTCGTCGCAGCCACCTTTGCCGCAGCCACCTTTGCCGCAGCCTTTCCCTGCGTTCTCCGCCGCGCTGCTCGCTCGCCACGGGATTCGTGCAGCGCTGCCTTGGCCCCGGCCCGGGTGTCCGCCTTGGCCGCAGCCGGCGAAGCCTTGTCTTGCGCGGCTTCCTTGGTTTCGGCTGGCAAGCGCGCTGGACTCTTCCGCACCGACTTTCTCACGCTCGAGACCTTCTTGCCCTGCGCCGACTGTTTCTCATCCACGAGCGGTGGCAACGAGGTGTGGGCCCCGGTACGGTCCTTGATAATCGTCTCGAGCTCGATCTTCGTCATCGGCTTAAAGTGCTCGCTCGAATCCGAGTGCAACGAGCCACCCTCTGACCAGTCATCCGATACCGTCATCTCAGCATACGACTCTTCGTACGTGTACTCGCCGCGAGACCCACTTCCAGACTCGTTTTCCGATTCCAGGGCCTTGGCCTTGGACTTGCCGGCTTCTGACTCGCGCGGTGTCGCCTGGGTCGTCGCCGGTGGCACACGAGTAAAGGCCGACTTGGTGGAGCCCGTAGATGTGCTGGCGGCGGGCGAGACCAGACCCTTATGTGACGGCATGATCGGCTCGTTTGTCGGTCTCTTGGAGCTATTACTGTTGCTCTTGTTCCTGATCTTATCCTTGCCCTTGCCCTTGCCCTTGCCCTTGCCCTTGCCCTTGCCCTTTTCCTTCGCCTTGCCCTTGCCTTTGCCCTTGCCCTTACCCTTGCCCTTGCCCTTGACCTTACCTATGATCTTAGATTTCCCAGCTTCGTCTGGGTGCGACACCTTTCCGCCACGGCCCGTTGCCTCACCGTGCGTCCTAGCCGCTGCAGATGGAATCGGACGCGAGACAAGCATGGGAGCACGACGAGTAGAGACAACATACTTGCCGCCTCGCCCACGAATGCCCACACCCTTTCCCCTCGACAACTCACCCGTCGATGCTGGGGCCGAGGCAGAAGCAGAGTGTGCGGCACGACCAGTGACTGACTGACCTGCAGAGGAGCCGTGTCCACGGCTGGCGGCACCACTCGAGCGAGGCGGAGTAGCGGTCCCAGACCGAGAACCAGAAACGGGATCAGTTGTTGTCATCATCGAATTCGTAGTTGAACTTTGCGCCGATGCAGCCAGTGGAGAGACGGGCAGGCCAACCGAGTGTGTCGCCAGTGACGACAGTGCCTCTGCCGCAGACGTTGTTGGCACTTTGGTCTCGACACTCATACCGTTGGAAACCAGACAACACACACTTCTTCAACTTGTATGGCACACACCGACAGGCACAAACCCCACTTTGCTATGTAACCCACAAATGGTAGTCTTTTCCACAGGTAGCGAGGGGTGAGGCGTGAAGAGGGTGAGGTGCTGCTGTCTTGCCACGTCTTCCACGAGGGATGACTAACAGTCGAATCATCAACGGGTTTTTTTGACGGGAGCTATGGCGTGTACAGGTTGGTGGTTCTCTGTCTAAGGCTCCATGAGAGGGTGGATGGATGAGAAAAAGGCAAAGAGTTGGTAGATGGCACAGTGTGAGAGAAGGGGATAGTAGTGGATGGAGTGTGATGAGGACGAGGAAGGGAATCAAGGGTTTGCAAAGAGGTAGCCGAGTCGAGGGGCTGGGCGGCAAGCGGGAGTTGTGTATTTTGCCCACTTGCGGAGCGAGCTGCATCGGTTGGTTGCAAGTGCTGATAAGTATACCCATGATACTTTGAATACATTCAGTAACTGCTTACAGCAAAAGGCACAGCTTCAACTTTGATCTTACAATGTCATCCCTTGCAAGTGCTCCGTACAGCTGTACTTCTCCGTCTGCAGCCAAAAAAGCAACAACAATACGATCAGGTAAACTAAAAGATCAAGCCATAGGAAGCCACCCCCCCCCCCCGTTACTCCCAGCAAGCAAGTACAGGTCAAACGGTATCAAAAGCAGCTACTTCAAGAGACATATGGCAAGCAATTTTGCATCAGGCGTACATAAAACGTATCGCAGTCATAGCCGTCATCACTGTCAGATCTGCTGCCTCCCTATACCCGCTCACAGCCTGCGCCAGCCCTGCCTGACCTGACTGCCAGCCGCCAGCCGCCAGCCGGTGACAACCTTCCCTACCGCACTCTAATACCGTCTCCCCTCAACAGCTCGAGCGGGTAGAGCGAGAGGCTTGGCGGGTATGTTGTCGCAGGGAGTACCACAGGGAGCGCTTTCTGTCCGAGTTGTGGCTGCCGAGGTAACTCGGGACGGGCCAACCGTGTATCGGCTGCGAGTCTCGGACGTCGACTGCCTGACGGGCATCCCGTCGTCATGGCACATCCATCGACGCTTCTCCGAGCTGCTTGCTCTGCACTCTGCTCTGAACAAGATGCTCACGCTCGATCACCGATCGCTCCTCCCGGTCTTTCCTCCCAAGCGCTACTTTCGCAACAAGGCCGCGGCCTTTATCGCCACCAGATCTCGCGCACTCCAGACATACTTTGACGAGCTGACCGCCTCGCCGCTGCTTGCTTCGCTCGGTTTTCTGCGCTGGGCGCTCCAGCCGCCGCCCTCCCTTCGCTCGCTCCTTGCTCACATCAAAGTGGCGAGTGATCCTACTGTCAAGGCCTTTGATGGCCTGCTCGCTAGCGTGGATGCCCGGATTCGCTCGCTCGACGCCGGCCTGGCTCGTGGTGGCCTGGCATGGTGCGAGGTTGTATGGGCTGGTTATGGCGAGCCGCTAGCAAAAGCTGGCATCGACGAGCTGCTGGCGGCGGCGCGCGCCATTCCGTATCCCATCCGCTCGTCGGGTGCAGAGACTCAGGTGCTCGCTCGGGCACGGATTATTGAGCTGCTTCACGATGGGCTCGACGAGGGTGGCTTTCCCTCGCCCACCCGCCCACTGTCAACTGATGGCTACTGGGCAGATTGGGTGGCAGCAGCGCGACGGGCAAGCAGTAGCAGGCGGCAGCGAGTCGCAGACAGCGACGCCGCCGGCGACGAGCACCCGCATCTCGCTGCCATGCTTGACGCCGACTTGCCGCGGACGCTCCGCGGTGCGCGCTGGCTGCACACGCCGCAGGCGCGAGCGTTGCATCGTGGTTTGATTGAGCGGTATGTGAAGACCCGCCCTGACGACGGGTACTCGCAAGCCCTGGCCATGCCTGTGGCGGCTATCATGTTTGTGGCACTCGATGGGAGGGTGCTTGGTCCGCACTCGCTTGACAGCAGCGAGGCGACATGCTGTGTGGCGAATGCGCTTGCACCTGCTGTGGTGGCCGAGCTGGACCTTGTAGTTGGTCATGTCCTAGATCGGCTGGCCGCGTTTCGCCAGGCGTCGATGGTGGTGACCGAGCGTGTCACCGCGCGTGTCGTCGCGTCCGGACCTGGCGCTGCGGTTGCGAGTGCACTCGAGGCCGCTGGCCTCGACCTGGTTGTCCTCCTCCCACGGTGGCTCAAGCTGATGTGGCTCGACGAGCTGCCAGGCTTGGCAACGCTAGCGCTTCTGGACGCGGTCATCACTGCCGACACGGATGACGATGCGTGCGAGCTGGTCGAGGCCGCATGCGTGGCGCTCATTCTCTTCCTCCACCACCAGCAGGTATTTGAAGATCCGGCTTTGATCTTCCGACTCTGCAAGTCGGTAAGCCCATGGGCTGGTGATCCAGCTGCCGCTAATCCAACCTGGCTGGTTGATGGCGCCGCCGCTGTTAGCCTTGCTGCGCCTGCTACCAACAGGTGATGGTGGTGGACACGCGATGCCGACCCTGTTCAAGCCAGCCCAGCTCGACAAGCGGAAATGAATGTCCCACGCCGAGTTGCCGACCTGCCTGGCGTGAGAAGCCCGGGGATACGGTCTGGGACACGGAGCGAGGCCGAGGGGTACGGGCTTGCCGCGACCTTGACCATGCCTGGCAACGCGAAGGCCAGGCCGCAGACCAGGCAAGGCGGGCTTGCCTGTTCGGGTACTGGACCCTGGCAGGCACGGCCGGGACCCTTGAGTGCGGACGAGGGAACGGCTCCGATTGTCCGGTACCGTTGGCCTGTTTCGTAGAGTTGAACGAGATCGTGTCGATCAAAGTCGTTGTCGCTACACTTGACTCGCCCGAGCCACAGCCACCGCACACCACACCATGTCCGCACAGGAGGAGCAGCAGCAGTATGATGAGGAGGAGGCTTTTGGCCCGCTCCCCGTCGACCAGCTTCAGGTATGTGCCACGTCTTTCCTCCTCCCTATCCCCCGGAACTCTCTCCTTGCTCATACCCCCCGGTGGCCAAGCCCCCAGTCGGCGTCCGAAAAGGGTCGCAGAATGGCGGCTCACCCTAAAAAGGTCGTGATTCCGACTATGGTTCCTCCGCACCGCCCCACCCCCACGCGCACCTCCTCCCGGCAGCACCTATGCGTCCCCAAGCCCTCCAACCATGCATTGACCTCTTCTACATGTCGGTCAGAACATATGTCTTGACAATGGGATTAGAGCATTACCAGAGCATGCCCTAGACCCCCCATGGGAACCGCCAGTCGGCAGCCCCGCTGCGTGTGGCGCCCAAAACACGACCTTTTTGGACCCACTCACCTCCCCCTCCCTCCCCCACCCCCCCCCCCCCCCCCCGCCCCAAGCCATCGATTGGGCGTCGAGTCGCATTGGCGCTGGCGGCGAAAGCGGCTACGGGGCTGGGAGGGACGAGGCGACCTTTTGTACGGTTGTCTCGTGAGCAGGAAAGGTATGCAGTTGAAACCATTACCCCCACCATGTACATAGATGTACAAGGTGGGAGTTGGTAGACTTGCATGGAGGTTGGGGGTGGCAGGGCTTGCTGTGGAGGGGCATGTTCAGAGGAGGGGGGGGCTGTGTGTGGAGAGGGCCGACGGATGCATTTTTTGGTTTGGCGGCATAGAGGAGGGGGGGAGGGGGTGGGGGAGGAGGGGAGGGAGGGGGGAGGGGGAGGGGACGACGGACATGGGTAGCGAGACTGACGATGGAAGTATGATGATACTGATACTGGCCTGGTGTTGGACAATGGACTGGAATGGGGTGTGTTGGGCTTGTGGAGTAGATGGCGTACCTGTTCGAGCCGTCTCCGCAACCGCTCAAGACAGTGAGCCGGCTCCAGTTTGGGGTCCTCTCGCCAGAGGCCATCCGTGAGTCTTCTGTGGCGCTCATTGACCAGCCGGATACGTGGGTGAACGGCAAGCCGCGTAAGGGAGGCCTCTCCGACCCGCGGTTGGGCACCATCGACTTTGGTGTCAAATGCCAGACGTGCGGGCAGGACCATCCACACTGCCCGGGACACTTTGGCCACCTCGACCTCTCCAAGGCAGTCTACCACCTTGGCTTTATCAACTATGTGCTCAAGATTCTGCGGTGCGTGTGCGTCAACTGCTCGCGGCTGCTGATCGACGTCAACGACGTCAAGTACAAGGCGAGCCTGGACCGGGCGGAGCAGCCGCAGGACCGGCTGTTTCTGCTCTCGACCCTGTGCTCGACGGTGACGCGGTGCCCGTCGGGCGCGACGGAGGACTCGATTCCGACCTCCGAGACGTCGCCGGTCCACAAGGGATGCGGCAACTACCAGCCGACCTACCGGCGCGATGGGATCAAGATCCGTGCAACGTACGGGTCGGACAAGGCGCGCGGGCAGGGTGACATCGGGACGCGCAAGACGCGGATGTCTGCCGAGCAGGTGCGCGAGATCTTTGCGCGGATCTCGGATAAGGATTGCCTGGCGATGGGCCTCTCGCCCAAGTGGGCGCGGCCGGAGTGGCTCATCACGACGGTCATGCCGATCCCGCCGCCTGCGGTCCGGCCGCATGTGATGATGTCGTCGACACAGCGGAACGAAGACGACCTGACGCTCGCGCTGGCGGAGATCATCAAGGCGAACAAGACGCTGAGCACGCAGATTATCAACGGCTCGCCGCAGAACGTGATCAACGAGTTTGTGGACCTCCTGCAGCACCACACGGGGACGTACATCTCGAACACGTCGCCGGCGTTTGCGCCGGCCGAGAACCGGTCGGGCCGGCCGCTCAAGACCATTTCCGAGCGGCTCAAAGGCAAGGAGGGCCGCGTCCGCGGCAACCTCATGGGCAAGCGCGTGGACTTTTCGGCGCGTACGGTCATTACGCCGGACCCGAACCTCAACGTGGACCAGGTCGGCGTGCCGCGATCGATTGCGGCGAACCTGACGTTCCCCGAGTACGTGACGGCCTTTAACCGCGAGTCGCTCATGGCGCTCGTCCGCAACTCGTTTGAGAACGGGCCTGACGCGTATCCGGGCGCCAAGACGATCATCCGCGACGACGGGACCAAACTTGATCTGCGGTACATCTCGCGCGAGACCGACCTTGTTCTTGCGCCGGGCTACGTGGTGGAGCGGCATGTGCGCGACGGCGACGTGGTGGTCTTTAACCGGCAGCCGTCGCTGCACAAGATGTCGATGATGGGCCACAAGATCAAGGTCATGCCGTACTCGACGTTCCGGCTCAACCTCTCTGTGACGACGCCGTACAACGCCGATTTCGACGGTGACGAGATGAACCTGCACGTCCCACAGTCGCTGGGGGCCAAGGCGGAGGTCATGGAGATCATGATGGTGCCCAAGAACATTGTGACGCCTGCGTCGAACCGGCCGGTCATGGGCATTGTGCAGGACACGCTGCTCGGGACGTACCTGTTCACTTCTCGCGACACGTTTATGGAGCGCGACCTGGTGATGAACCTGCTCATGTGGGTGCCCGACTGGGACGGGCGCATTCCCACGCCGGCGATTCTCAAGCCCAAGCCGCTGTGGACCGGCAAGCAGCTGTTTTCGCTCATCATGCCGAACGTCAACCTGAGGACCAAGTCTGGCACGGCGCCGGACAAGGCTGAGGGGCCGATTTCGCCGACCGACACCAAGGTGCTCATCGAGGCCGGCGTCCACCTCTCGGGCCGGCTGTGTAAGAAGACTGTGGGTAACAAGGCGAACGGGCTCATCCATCTGGTGTGGATCGAGCACGGCCCCGAGGCGGCGCGGTCGTTCCTCGACGCCATCCAGCGGGTGGTCAACAACTGGCTCTGCCAGCACGCCTTCTCGGTCGGCATCGGCGACATGGTTGCGGACGACCGGACCATGGCCAACATCCACCAGCTGCTGAAGGACGCCAAGGTCAAGGTCCGCGAGCTCATCCACGACGCGCAGCAAGGCAAGCTCGTCTCTAAGCCAGGCATGACCATGCGCGAGACGTTTGAGGCCGAGGTCAACAGCACGCTCAACATTGCCTCTGGCCAGGGTGGCACGTCGGCCGGTCTCTCGCTCCGGGCCGACAACCGGGTTAAGATCATGGTCGACGGTGGCTCCAAGGGTTCTTCGATCAACATTGGGCAGATGGTGGCGTGTGTGGGCCAGCAGAACGTGGAGGGCAAGCGCATTCCCTACGGCTTTGTCGGCCGCACCCTCCCGCACTTTCACAAGGACGACTACGGACCCGAGTCGCGCGGTTTTGTCACCAACTCGTACCTCAAGGGCCTCACGCCGCAGGAGTTCTACTTTCACGCCATGGGTGGCCGCGAGGGTCTCATCGATACGGCGGTCAAGACAGCCAAGACCGGTTACGTCCAGCGGCGGCTGGTCAAGGCCATGGAGTCGCTGATGGTGCAGTACGACTCGACGGTGCGCAACGCGCAGGGCGTGGTCATCCAGTTCCTCTACGGCGAGGACGGCATGGAGGCAACGCTCCTCGAGCACCAGTTCCTCGACTCGGCCATGATGACCAACGAGAGGCTGCACGCGGTGTACTCGATCAACACCTCGAACGAAGAGATGGCGCGGTATACCACGCCGCAAGTGTGGAACGAGCTCAAGGAGTCGCGCGCGCTCCGCGAGGAGCTCAAGGACGAGTTCAACACCATTGCCGCCGACCGCGACATGCTTCGCCGCGTCTGCGTCTCGACGACCGACATGGGCATCATGGCCTCGGGCTCGGTCCGCATCGTCCTCCCGGTCAACCTCAAGCGGCTCATCTGGAACGCGCAGAAGATCCACTCGTCGCCGTCGTCGGTCTCGGACCTCTCGCCGCACGACATCATCACCGGTGTCCGCTCGCTCCTCGACGACCTTGTTGTCTGCCGCGGCGACGACCCCATTACCCGCGAGGCGCAGGCGAACGCGACCATGCTGTTCAAGGCGCACGTCCGTGCCACACTCGCCTCAAAGCGCGTGCTCCGCGAGTACAAGCTCTCGTCGGCCGCCTTTGAGTGGCTCCTCGGTGAGATTCGGACCAAGTTCCTAACCACTATTGCCCACCCGGGCGAGATGGTCGGCGCGCTTGCGGCGCAGTCGATCGGTGAGCCGGCAACGCAGATGACGCTCAACACCTTCCACTTTGCCGGTGTCTCCGCCAAGAACGTAACGCTCGGTGTCCCGCGGCTGGAGGAGCTGATCAACGTGGCCAAGGCAAACCGGACGCCGTCGAACACGGTCTTTCTCGCCGAGCACATTGCTTTTGACCAAGACGCTGCCAAGGCTGTTCTCCACGAGCTGCAGAACACCACACTCGGGCACGTCACCGACCGCACCGAGATTTGGTTCGATCCGGACCCGCTCAACACCGTTGTGGAGGAGGACCGCCAGTTTGTGACCGACTACTATGGGCTGGAGGACATGCCCGAGGACGAGATCATGTCGCCGTGGCTTCTCCGCATTGTGCTCTCGCGCGAGGAGCTCTCCAAAAAGTCGCTCAAGGTCAAGGACGTCGAGGCTGCTCTCAACCGCGAGTTTGTCTCGCTCCACGTCATCACCACGCCCGACACGGCCGACCCGCTCGTGGTCCGCGTCCGGTTCCAGGTCGACTCGTCGGAGAGCGGTAAGGAGGAGGCGATGCGGGACAACATCCTGCTCACCAACATCCAGTCGACGCTCCTCTCCATCATCCGCGTCAAGGGCTTCCGCGAGTTCAAGAAGGTCTTCCTCACCTCGCAGGAGATCATGATTGAGGATCCGGAGACCGGAACGTACGACAAGCGGACCGAGAACTACCTCGAGACCGAGGGCGTCGACCTCCAGCGGCTGCTTGCGCACCCCGCCGTCGACGCTACCCGGACGACCTCCAACTCGGTGGTCGAAGTCATCCAGGTGCTCGGCATCGAGGCTGCCCGCCAGGCTCTCTTCCACGAGCTGCACCACGTCATTTCGTTTGGTGGCTCGTACGTCAACTATCGCCACCTCGCCCTCCTCTCCGACGTCATGACCTACCGCGGTGAGCTGCTGCCCATTACTCGTCACGGTACCAACCGCGTGGAGAACGGCGCGCTCATGCGGTGTTCGTTCGAGGAGACGACCGACGTCCTCATGCTCGCTGCTGCCATGGGCGAGGTCGACCCGCTTGCCGGCGTCTCCGAGGCTATCATCATGGGCAACCTGCCGCGCATCGGCACCGGCGCCTTTGACCTCTTCCTCGACGAGTCCAAGCTCGCTGACGCTGTCGAGGTCTCGGTCCTCGCCGACTCGGGTGACGCGCTGCAGTACGTGCCCATGTCACCGGGCGACGGCTTTGCCGCTGCCACCCCCTACGCTGCTGGCGGCATGCTCTCGCCGGCCGCGGCTGGCGGCTGGTCGCCGGCTGCGGGCGGCTCGTTCTCGCCGGCCACCTTTTCGCCTGGCGGCGCGGGCTTCTCGCCGGCCGGCGCTGGCTTCTCGCCGGCTGGCGCTGGCTTTTCGCCGGCACCGGCGTCACCGGGCCTCTCGCCGGCGTCGCCGGCATACACCCCGTCGTCGCCGGCCTTCCAGTCGCCGGCTTCGCCGGCCTACTCGCCGACGTCGCCGGCGTATGGCGCTGGCTCGCCGGCCTCGCCAGCGTACTCGCCGACGTCGCCGGCGTATGGTGCTGGCTCGCCAACGTCGCCGGCATACTCGCCGACTTCTCCGGCGTATGGTGCCGGCTCGCCGACGTCGCCTTCGTACTCGCCGACGTCGCCTGCCTATGGCGCCGGCTCGCCGACGTCGCCGTCGTACTCGCCGACGTCGCCGGCGTATGGCGCGTCACCGACATCGCCGTCGTACTCGCCGACGTCGCCCGCCTATGGTGCCTCGCCGACGTCGCCGTCGTACTCGCCGACGTCGCCCGCCTATGGTGCCTCGCCGACGTCGCCGTCGTACTCGCCGTCGTCGCCTGCCTATGGTGCCTCGCCGACGTCGCCATCGTACTCGCCGTCGTCGCCTGCCTATGGTGCCTCGCCGACGTCACCGTCGTACTCGCCGTCGTCGCCTGCCTATGGTGCCTCGCCGACGTCGCCGACATACTCTCCGACGTCGCCGACCTACGGCGCGTCGCCAACGTCGCCGGTCTACTCGCCGTCGTCGCCGACCTACGGAGCATCGCCAACGTCGCCGGTCTACTCGCCGTCATCGCCGGCGTATGGCGCGTCGCCAACGTCGCCGGTTTACTCGCCGACATCACCGACGTACGACGCATCGCCCGGCGCAGCCTACTCGCCGTCGTCTCCGCAGTACAACGACAACGACGACGAGCCCAAGTACTAGAAACAACAGCTTGTTCGCTCTGTCTATCAACCGTAAACTGTTTGTGTCCGTATTATCCTGATCCTTATCCAGCCAGCCAAGCCCAACCTAGCCACATGGCGACCAATCCGCCACGACGGTCGTGATCGCGCCAGCTGCAAGCCAACAACACCACACGCTTTCGCCACCGGCACCCGCCCCCTTCCCCCCTCACCCACACCTCTCACCCTCCCCCCCTACCCTCTCACCCCCCCCCCCCCCTACCCCCCCTACCTCTCCCCCCCTCCACCCTCCACCTTCCTCCTTTGTCTACATCATGGCAATGGTCCTTGCCAGCCATGTCTTGGTTGTTCTTCTCCTGGCAGCCGCTTGCTTGGAGACATGGGTGACACCGGTTTGGGCGGTATGTGCAGGAAAGCATGTGGTGCGGATGGGTGGGGGACTACCACCATCAGCATCAGCATCAGCATCAGCATCAGCATCAGTACTAGCATCAGCATCAGTACTAGCATCAGCATCAACAGCATCAACATCATCATCTTCAGTATCATCGTGGCCGTCTGTGGTGGTCATCGATGATGGGTCGGGAAGTGGTGAATACCTCGTCAACGTCGAGTGTGGCTGGAAAGTGGTGGGAGATGATGGTGTTCGACTTGGCTTTGACTTTACCTCGTTTGCTACAGAGTGTGGTTGGGATCATGTTTATGTGTTTGATGATGATAACGTGGTCGATGGTGCTCCGAAACTACTAGCTGTCTTGTCGGGTTTGGATCCTCCGCAGAGGTTGCTCTCGTCATCCAACGTGGCTTCACTGCTGTTTGTCTCGGATCAAGCTGTAACCTATCCTGGGTGGTCTGTCACTGTCTCAGCATCGCCATGCCCCTTCAACTGCTCTGGCCATGGGATGTGCGAGGTGAGCTCAGGCAAGTGCACCTGCAGCGCTGGTTGGGCCGGCCCGGACTGCCGTCGCGAGGCCTGTGCTGGCGATTCGCAGTGCTCGGGCCATGGCTCGTGTCTCGGGCCGGAGTACGTGTGCGAGTGCGATGCCGGGTACACTGGCCCCAACTGCGCAACCTCGATCCTGTCCGACTCGCAGACTGTGCCGTGGAGAGAGCACCCAAGTGGCGGGCTGCCAGCTTGGGAGCCGTCAGTGCTTGCACGGACGCAGGCTGTCGCAGTAGCGGTGTCAGAGAGCTACATGCTGGTCTTTGGCGGTGGCTCGATCTATGGGCGGTCGTACCGTAGCGACGCTGTCGTGTTTGAGCCGCACCTGGCCGGGACCGGCACCGAGGTGACAGTGCCGGTCTCCGGCCAGGTGCCAGCACCTCGGTCGGGTGCGGCCGGGGCGTACCATTCTGGGAGTCAGACGCTGTATGTGTTTGGTGGCGAGACGGCCGAGAATGTGTACACGGCCGAGGTGTACGCGCTGTCGCTCAACGGAACTGTACCGGCGGTGAGCGGGACATGGCGCAAGATAAGCGCTCCTGGCGAACCGGGGCTGCTGGCTGGCACCGGGGCGGCAGCAGCCTACCACAGCGACGGGCTTATCTATGTCTTTGGTGGATACGCGGCTGATACCGGGTTTTCACACCGGCTGGCGATTTTTGATCCGATCGTCGACGCGTGGGTGAGCTACGTGAGCGGGCCGGACGATCCGTGGCCGCGTGCGCGACAGGGCGGGTCACTTGTCTCGCTCCCGGGTACGGCATCACTGGCGTTGTTTGGAGGCTCTGCGCCGAACCGAATCGATTTACAGGACTTGTGGCTCCTCCACGGGCCGACGCGGACGTGGAGCCAGATCACGCCTGGCCAGTCTGACCCGTGGCCGGCGGCGCGGTACCTGCACTCTGCGGTAGCGCTGTCCTCGGACGTGATGCTTGTGGTAGGCGGGCGAATCACGACGTCACCGTCACCGTCTTTGCCGCCGGCATGCTTTGGCGACGACGCCTGGGCCTTTGTGTTCTCCGCGGACAAGTGGGTGTTTCTGGGGTCGGACATGGTGCGTGCGCCGACGCCTGATGCACCATGGCCTGGAGCGCGGTACGGACACAGCACCGCGGTGGTGCCGAGTGTGGGCGTGGTGCTGGTGGGCGGCTTTGAGACCGGTGTGATGGCACGGACTGCGTGGACTTGGGATATTGTCGACGTACTGCCACCGAGCGTGGAGGCGGCGTACAGCGGCGGGCGGTCTGCCTGCGACGAGCTTTCTTCGAGCTGCTACGATTGTGGGCGGCATCCGTCGTGTGTGTGGTGCCCGTTTGCCGAGCAATGCCGGCCGCTACGAGACGAGCCCGGAGCGTGCGACGGTGAAGCCGGAATGCCCAATGGGTGCCTGGATCAAGGATGCGCGGCGCTGTCGTCGTCAGGCTGCTCCGACTGTGCCCGGCGAGCAGACTGTGAGTACTGCACCGCGACGTCGAGCTGCATGGCGAGTGGGAGCTGTAGCGGGACGCCGGTGTCAAGTCCGGCGATGTGCCCGGAGACGCGCGACTGCACGCGCGCGGTCGAGTGCAACGCATGCATGGACGTGGACGGGTGCTCTTGGTGCCACTTGGGTGGAGGTGGGAACTGTTTTGACGAGTCGGTGCCGAACGCGTGCCCGACATCGTCGCCGCTGCCCGCAGGGGTATGCCGGACGCGGTGCGAGGCGCTGTCGGGGTGCGGACAGTGCACAGGCGCGCTTTGCATGTACTGCGAGTCGACTGACGACTGCTTCTCCTCCACTGACTACCTCATGGCGTACCCGTACGCCGAGTGTCCGGACTGGCACTTTGGGCTGGGCGATTGCCCGGCGCCATGCAGCGCCCACTCGACGTGCGGATCGTGCACGGATGCGCTTGACTGTGGATGGTGCTCGAGCACGGCAACATGTGTGGCCGGCGACACGAACGGCCCGCATGGGGCGAGCAACGCGATGGCGGACGGAACGGCGGCGGAGCCGGCGTCGTGCGCTGCTGACAACTGGTACTTTTGGGAGTGCCCGTGCTCGGAGAGCAGCCTCGGGTGTGACGCATGCGTGAGCGATTTGCGGTGCGCATACTGCGTGGACGCGGGTCAGTGCCTCGAGGGCGCGTTTGTGGGCCCGCCAGGCAACCGAAGCCTGACACTTCCGCTGGAGGCCGAGTGCGAAACGTACGACGTCGGGTTTTGCCCGGTGTGCGGAGCGTGGACGAGCTGTGAGGAGTGTGGGGCTGATCCTGCGTGTGGATGGTGCGGGGCCAGCCAGATTTGCGAGCGCGGCGGGGCGGTGGCGCCTGCTACGTGCTCATCGGGCTGGCTGTACGGCGTGGCGTGCCCGAACTGCACCGCAGCGGCGAGTTGCGGAGCGTGCGTGGACGTGGCGGGGTGCGGGTGGTGTGAGGGCGTCGGGTGCGTGCCGGGTGACGGCAGCATTGGAGCGTACGAGAACGGGCTGACCTGCCTCGCTTTTGACGTGTACAACTGTGCCGGCCACTGCTCGGTGCTTGGGCGTGGGTCGTGCTCGTCATGCGTGGCGCTGGACGACCCCGAGTGCGGATGGTGCTGCACGACAGCGTCGTGCACGGTAAGCGAAGCGTGCAATGGCGCGCCTGTCCGCGAGTTTTACACCGAGACGTGTCCAGTATGCACCGCAAGCGATTGCGACGAGTGCCTTGCCGGCTTTTCCGGCGGCTCGTCGGCGTGCTGCGGGTGGTGCGACGAGACGAGCAGCTGCATCCGTGGTGGGACGAGAGGACCGGATGGGGATCAGCCAAGCTGTGGCGTGACCGAGTGGTATTATGCGTCTTGCCCGATTGACTGTGGGACGTTTCAGACATGCTCGACGTGCCTCGGGGTCGGGTCTGGGGTCTGCGGGTGGTGTGCCTCGTCGGGGCGGTGCTATCACGCGACGCCCGGAACCATTCCGCAAGTCGAACCTGCGTGCTCGCTGTGGGCATTTGGCTCGTCATGCCCGGCCGACTGCACGGCGGAGAGCGGGTGTGACGAGTGCACGGCGCACTCGCACTGCATGTGGTGCGCGACGTCTGAGCGATGCCGGTACTCGTTTGACCTTGGCGAGTGTCCCGCCCAGGACTGGCACTCGAGCAGCTGCCCTGTTCGGTGCGCCGACGCCTCGTCATGCCGGTCGTGCACAGGGCTGGCCGAGTGCGGGTGGTGCGGGGCGGAGGACAAGTGCATGCGTGGGACGCCTTCGGGCCCGACAACGGTGGTGGGCACGTGCCTGGCGGAGCAGTGGAGCTTTGCGAACTGCGACGCGGTGTGCGCGTCGCGGATTGTTGAGGTCGGGCGCGACGAGGCATGTCAGCAGTGCACCGCGGAGCCGTCGTGTGGGTACTGTCCGTTCATGACGTCCGACACGGGGATTGGCGCGTGTGTGACGGGCGCAACGACTGGGCCGGTTGGCTCGCCGTGCGGCTCGTACGTGGCATCAGGCTGCCCTGTGGTGACGCAAATGACGCCGGGCACCTCGCGCAACGGGGTGCTCGAGTCTGGGCAGCGGCGACAGCTCTCGCTGTGGACGACGGCAGGTGACCAGACGGTGACGATCAAGGTGACGAGCAGCCCGCCGGTTGCCATGTTTGTCTCGACCAAACATTTTATGCCGTCGAGTGAGGCCGGCTTTGAGTGGCACGTCATCTCGCCTGGCTCGCTGGTGGTGACGCCGGCCGAGTTTACCGACGACGTCATGCCTGTGGGCGCGTTCTACGTGACGCTGCAGTGCAGCGGTGGGCTCTCGGCGTGCCGATACCATGTGACGGCATCACTGAGCTCACCGGATAAGCCGCCGTCGAACTCTGCGTTTTGGATCGTGTATTTTGTGGGTGTGTTCTTTGGAGCGCTTATTGCGGTCATCCTCATTGCGGTGCTGGTCAAGAAGCTACGCGAGTCACTGGAGGCACCGTCGACGGCGGCGTTCCAGCGGCGGGCGGCGATCAACCGGCGAGTCCGCCCACACGTCCCGCTCCGGGTCATTGTACCGGGGAACGAGCACGTGGCCTCGCCGTGGTTCCTTGTCCTCCCGGTCGGCGAGTCGGAGCCGTCGGTCCACGCGGTGCTGGCGCTCCCTCGCGGCGCGTTTCGCATCGGACAGGTGGTCAAGACCGCTCCGGGCAAAAAGATGGTCCGGGTCTCGAACCGGCGGGCTGTAGATTCGGCCAACTCGCACGAGCCCGGCGCCGAGCTCCGTGAGCTCCCACCGCACCTCCGGAGCATGCTGCACTCGTCGGGCGAGTCGACCATGGCGTCGTCGTCAGTGGTCTCGGCGTCGCGAGTCACTGTCTCGGGCGTTGATCATCCACTTCCAAGCAACAGCAGTGGCGGTGAGCTATTTGCTGGCGTTGTGCCTATGGCCGACCTTGTCGACACGGGCTCGACCTCGACCTCGGGCTCGGGCTTTAGCGGCGGCGGCCAAGACGACGCCGACGGGTCTTCAGACGTGTGGGGCGTTCGTGTTGTCGCTGATGACACCCCGTTGCCCACAGCAGGTGGCGTCTTTGAAGACGACATCGGGCGGGAGCTGGCGAGTGATACCTGGGGTGAGCTCTCCAGCGTGTAAACTGTGGATATTGACTCTGTGTGAGAATGCCGTGGAGAGTTGTGTTGTGATGTGTCGAGGAAGTGGGGAGGGGGGGGGCTGTGAGGATTGGCAACCATGGTGAGCAAAGCAATGTACAGATCTAATACTGAAGGTGTGTGCAGTGGAGATCAGCAGGTTGGGTAGCTCAGTTGGTAGAGCGTTCGACTGTTAATCGAAAGGCCCGGGGATCAAAACCCTGCCTGACCGCGATTTCTTTTTTTTTTGCTCGGGACCCTCCTCATCAAGCTCAGCCAGCCAGCCGGCCAGCCGGCCAGTTTCGTTTGCTTGCCTTGATCGGGGGTTAGTTAATGCGTCTTGATGGATGCGAGTGGGCACGGATGGGAGGGAGGAAGGGAGGGAGAGAGAGGGAGGGAGAAGGAAAGATCATGTTGGGCCAGTAGATTCCTTTGTTGCTTGCTGTTCCTGCGACATGTCAGCGGCCAGTCGGCGACGGTGTCGGTCGTCGGGGTATGAGGATACACACTGCTCTCGCATCTAGGTGAAGAGAGGTGATATCGACAAGGCAGAAGCAGCACTTACATACCAAGCTGTGATGACGATCAAGATGGGCGTTGTGCGGCGAGCTAGGCCGCGTTTGTACCGACCAAGGCGTCCGGTGGTTGCAGGCGTGCCGGCCGGAAAAGGTCGTGAAACGTTTTTTAGCGACCAACCAGGCCGGCCATCGAGGGCGCCCATCTGTGCCAAGACTCGGGCTCGGGCGCTACGCCGCGGCCGGGCACCTCTGCCCGCAGCGGGGTCCATCCTGGCGGTCACGCCGCCGCCAAACATGGCGCTTCATACCCGCAGGCTCGCCCGTGATCTCCGGCACGCCAAGGCCCGGCAGTCGGCGTCCGCTGCGTTCGACGCGGCGCGAGCAAAGGCCACACCACTGCCACCGCCGCCACCGCGGCTTGCGCATCCGCCGCTGTCCCCACCACCGCCATCGGTGGTCGTGCCGTCGGGCGGGATCGATGCAGCTGATGTGCTGGCGCCTGCTGCTTCGGCGTCGACTCGCAAGCGCGCCGGGAAGGGTGGCCGCCGCAAGCGCAAGCGCAGCCGCGCCGCCGGCCAACCGACAGCCAAGCGGCGCGGGCTCGCGTGGGAGGGAGCGGGAGCAGCCGGTAGCAATGATGTAGAGGATGATGCAGGCAGCGGATGGGCGGGTGAGGTCAACTCGGCCACACTCCTCGGTACCGCCATCGGCCTCGGCGAGCTGGTGCCTGTCCATGACTTTGACTTTTCGTGTAAGAAAGCACATATCTTCCTCACCGGAGATTCCGTCATCGGGCCCATGCTACCTACCTATCTACCTACCTACCCGTGATAATAACTCCCCTCCGTGCACCGAGGTCATCGATCCTCGCCAGCAACGATGAAATGTTGAACTTTGTTGCGCGTCGCATCGATCAAGCGACAAACGATGGCATTCGCCAATGGAAGAAACGAGTTCTGACGAGGGCGACCCGGACGTGTTCGCCTGGCGTCACCTCCGCCCTCGGCCGCGTCCGGCTGCCAAGAGGCGACCAAGAAGCAGCTCGCTACTTCACCCCACAACCTGACACGAGCATGACGTACGTGCCTCACCCGCTCACCCGGCTCTCAACGCTGTTCGACAGCCCGGCCCGCGCGGCCGAGGCCGGGAACCAGACTGTCATCGGCATCTTTGACACCGGAGTCGACCCGGGCGCGCCAGGCCTGGCGAGGACGCCCGACGGGCGGCCCAAGATCATCGATCTTGTCGACTGCACCGGCTCGGGCGACGTGACGATGACGCCGCTGGCAGTCCCGGCTGCTGGCGTGGAAGCAGCGCCGTCTGATGCGGCGGCGGACGGCCGGCGAGTGATTGTCTCGCCGGTCACCGGCATTCCGCTCGTCCTCCCGGCGGCGGACGCGCTGACGCTCGATCTCACCACACTGCGGCACGGGACCAAGGCCGGATACGAGCTCTTCCCGCGGCCGCTCGTCAAGCGGCTCAAGGCTGATGCGGCGCGCAAGCTCGACGAGGCTCACGGCGAGCTGGTTGCTGCCGCGCACGCGGCGGACGACGCCGACGCTGTGGCTGCGCTCAAGGCGCTCAAGGCGAGCAACGAGGTTGTCGCTCGCGGCCCGGTCTTTGACTGCCTCACCGCGTTTGACACCGACGCGCAGGTCTGGCGTGCTGTCGTCGATGTCGGCCGCAACGGGCAGGTTGCAGACCCGGAAGCGTGGCTCGCGCCGTTTGGTGTCGAGCACAAGTGGGGCACGTTTGAGCTCGACTCGCTGCTCAACTACGGGATCAACATTTACGACGAGGGGGCGACGCTGTCGATTGTAGTCGACTCGGGCTCGCACGGTACGCACGTGGCTGGTATCGCCGCCGGCTACCACCCGGACGAGCCGCATCGCAACGGGGCGGCGCCGAGCGCGCAGATCATTTCGTTCCGCATCGGCGACGGCTTGCTTGGCGGGATGGAGACCGGCGTCGGTGTCATTCGCGCCTGCCAGGCTGCCGCGGTTGCGGCAGAGGCTGGTAAGCTCGACGTGGTCAACATGTCGTTTGGTGAGCACTCGCGGCTGCCCAACTCGGGCGCGGTGGTCGACGCGCTCAACGCCATGGTCAACGACCACGGCGTCATCTTTGTGGCGTCGGCCGGCAACGAAGGCCCCGGACTTTCGACCGTGGGCGCGCCGGGCGGCACATCGTCGTCGGCCATTTCTGTCGGCGCATACGTGAGCCAGGACATGATGTCTGAGCTGTACGCCATGCGCAACGCGACTGGCAAGGACTCGCTCTTCACCTGGTCGTCGCGCGGCCCGTCGTTTGATGGCGAGCTTGGCGTGACTATCTGCGCGCCGGGCGGCGCCATTGCGCCGGTCCCACAATGGACGCTCGCGCCTGGCCAGCTCATGAACGGGACATCGATGAGCTCGCCGCTCGCGGCGGGCTGCATCGCTGCTGTTCTGGGCGAGCTCAAGGCCAAAGCGCCCGAGGCTGCAGCGAGCCTCACGCCTGCGCTGGTCAAGCGGGCGGTCATGGCCTCAGCCCGTCCTGTCGACGGCGACGCCGGTGGCGAGGCTGTTGCCCACGCCGCAGACGGTGGGCCGCCGCCCAAGTACTCGGTCCTCACCGGCGCCGGCATGATTGACGTTCCCCAGCTGTATGCGGTACTTGAGAGCGTGACTGCCAGCGCGTGCCCGATCCTTGCCCTTCCATGGGAGGTGAGCGTCTCTGGAGTGCCCGGTATGTACGCGCCGGCGGCACGCGGCATTTACCTCCGCGACGCAGACTGCTTCACCGGTATCCACGCGGCCGAGTTTGTGGCGTCGGTCAAGGTTAAGCCGGTGTTTCCGCGCGACACGCTCGCGAGCGCCAAGCTCGTTGCCGCCGACGTTGTCCTCAAGGCTTCTGCCGATTGGATCTCAACGGCGGCCTCGTTTGCCCTCACCTCGGCCGGGCGGTCGTTTGAGGTCGGGTTGGCGACAGCCGGGCTCGAGGTTGGCCAGGTTCATGTTGGATGGATCGAGGGCTTTGTGGCCGGCGCCCCTGCCGACGCGCCGGCGCTGTTTGTGGTTCCAGTGGTGGTGACCAAGCCACTGACCGGGATCGACGAGCTGCAGGTCGGCGGCATCCGACTCGGGCCAGCCGAGGCCAAGCGGTTCTTCCTCTCGCCGCCGCCAGGCGCCAACTACATGAACGTGCGGATTTCGCGGGCCGGCGAAGGCGCTGAGGCGAGCACACTGTACATGATGCAGGCGATCTCGGTCCGCGACGACGCGTTCTGGTGCGCCACGCCGTCAGACGCGGTTGTCCGCTGCACCGGACAAGGCGAGGTGGCCAAGGCCTTCCGGGTCTTCCCCGGTGTCACCGTCGAGCTTGTCGTCGCCCACTACTGGGCGTCGGGCAAGCGTGCCGAGCTCGACATCGAGGTCTCGTTCACCGGCCTTGGGCCTGAGCCGCTCGCCGGCCCGCTGTTGGTCGACGGATGCGCGGCCGGCTACGCGCGGCTGGACATGGTCAACCCGCGGTCGCAGCCCGTGTCGGCAGCGCCGTTTGCCAAGGCCACCCATTCGGTCGTGGACCTTGCGCCGACGGGCCCGCCAAAGGTCTCGGTCCTCTCGGCAGAGCGCGACGCGTTCCCGAACCGCCCGCCGTCTGTGGAGGCGGTCTTTGAGTATGGGCTGGAGAACCCAGGCGCGGCTGGGCCCGAGACCGACGAGGTCACGCTCAAGGTGCCGATCATTTCGGAGCATCTCTACGAGTCCCCGCTGGCCGGGCAACTGGTGGTGGTCCGCGACGCCGCCGGCAGGCTAGTGAGCGCACAGGATGCGTGGCCGCAGCCAGTCAAGATTCCGCGCGGCAAGCTGAGCGTCACGGTCGCGCTCCGTGCCGCGAGTATGGCCCACCTTGAGCCGTACCTGACCGGCACTCTCCCGCTGGTTGTGGTCCGCAAGCTCAAGTCAGATGTGGCGCTCGAGCTTTACGGCTCGTTGGCCGGGGCCATGGCCCGCCGCGGAAGCGACAAGGTGAAGCCGTGCGCGATGGGCCCTGGCCGGCGCGCGGTGTACTTGCTCGCGCCCGAGGTCGAGGCCGGTGTCGTGCCGGCTGGCGGCGTGCTCGAGGGCTCGTACGGCTTTGTCAAGGCGCCGGCGAGCCTCGTCACTTCGCGATCGGGCAAGGTCCAGGAGGTCCGCCCGCTCGTCGTCCGCCCGCGGGTGAAGGCCAAGGGCAAGGCCGCTGGAGAAGCCAAACCCGAGCCCAAGGCCGCTGCCGAGGACAAGGCTGCTGCTGAGAAGAAGACCAAGCTTGCAGCGCTCAAGTCGTGGCTCAGCGTTGTCGGCGCCGACGGAGTCGAGGCTGCGGTCGCCGCCGCCGGCGCGTCGGCCGGCGCCTGGCTCGCCGCTGCCGACGCGTTTCCGGAGCGCAAGGCCGAGTATGCTCAGCGGGCGGTCGACGCCGTCGACCAGGACGCTCTTGCCGCGGCGCTTGGCCGCGGCGAGACCGGTGCAGCGTCGGAGAAGGCCGACCTCATCGCCGCGCTGGTCGCCATCGCCGCGGCCTCGGGCGAATGGGGAGGCCTCGAGGCGTGGGCTACGCCCGATGAGGTGAGCAAGCTCACCGGCGGATGGAAGGTTGCGGTTGATAAGTTTGTGGCCGACGGGCGGCCCGCCGCCGCCCTCACGGTTGCCATGGGCGAGGTGTGGCGGCAGCGGGCGGGTGCCAGTGGCGCGACGGCCGGCGGCGACGAGGCGGCGGTCGCTGCGGTCGTCGCTCTCCTCGGCGAGCTTGGGTGGGGCGTGTGGCAGGGCGTGTGGCTTGAGGCGTAGGTTTACTCCCGCAGCGGAGACATGGCAGCAGCTACGACGACTTGGACTTGCCGGTCATCGAGGTAAAGGCAGCTTCAGAGGAGCGAACGATGATGCGGTCCATGAGCCAGGCCGGGAGCAAAGGCTTGAGGGCAAGGCCGAAGCGGGCGGCGGCGACCATGACGAGCTCGCGCTTTCCGGCGTAGAGCGCGGCGATCATCCACTCGGCAGCGGCGTCGGCGGTGAGGAACTTGTCGGTGTTGCGAGAAGCACCGGTGGCGGCCAGAAACTCGTCATGGATCTCGGTGATGACGTAGCCCGGGCAGGCGACAGTGACCGAGACCTCATCGCCGACCTCGTAGCGGAGCGAGTCGCAGAAGGCGTTGAGCGCAAACTTGGTCGGGCAGTAGCCGGTCCTCCGCGGAGTGGAAATCTTGCCTGCCACCGACGAGACGGCCAGGATGGAGCCACGCGAGGCGCGGAGGTGCGGCAGGGCAGCCCTCACGCAGTGGACCACGCCCCAGTAGTTGACCTCCATGACCGACTTGTAGAAGGCCAGGTCCGCCTCGTCCTCAAACAGGGTGTTGTTGGCACCGCGCCCAGCGTTGGCCACCAGTACATCGATGCCGCCCAGCAAGAGAACAGCCTTTTCCATGGCCTCGATGACGGCATCCTCGTCGGCGACGTCCGCCACGGCGACAACAACCTCCGGATTGGCGCCGACGCCGCCCGAGAGGGTGGCGACCTGGATGGCACGGCACTCGAGCTCGAGCTCACGGAGCTTCTCCTCACGACGAGCAATGAGGACAACAGAGGCACCAAGAGCACAGAACTGCTTGGCCATCTCCTTGCCCATGCCCGACGACGCGCCCGTAATGACCACCCGCTTGCCCTTGTACGCCCCCGCAGGCACCGACGCCACACGCCCAGCCCACGCTCCGCTCGCCGCAAACACCGCTGCGCCCGCAAGGCTTGCCCACCCGACCGCAGTCACCACAGGCGTCACAATGTCAAGGATGCTCTCCATGGTTGTGGTGTGTGTGTGTGTGTGGTGTGGTGTGGTGGGAGTCAGGTGTGTGTGTGTGTGTGGGTGGGTGTGGCTTGCGCTGGTGGCCCAGGGGGGGAGGGGGGGGAGGGAATTGCGACCTTTTTTGGGAAAGAGGGAGTGTTTTTTTGGTGGAGGGAGACATGGCTGGTGGCGAGTGGGAGGCATATGGGGGCATGCTGGTGAATGATAGAGGGAAGGAAGGTATGGTTGTGAAGGCAACATCTGTGCAAAGGTGTGAGTGTGGATGTGGTGGAATGGGTGCGGAGGTGGTGGTAGTATGGGGGAAGGTGAGGATTGGGAAATGGGATGACAATGAGGCGGTTTTTTGCTCGTCATGCTAGCCGCGACAACTTGCTGATCCCGCCCTTGTCACGCCTCTTCTCGTCATTATGCTTGTTACACGTAGAGTGCCAGCCAACAGTATGTGCGATGAAGGTTTTATGTGTGCTTTGTTCTGCGGCGGGAGGTATCAGTTCAGCCGACAGTCGCGGGCCAAAAAGTTGGCAAAGGGATTGCCCCCATCGCGAAGGGCCTTGACCAAGTTGGCAGACGCGTAAGTGAGGCCAAGGCCTGTGCCGATGAGACCGAGGCTGACGATGGCGATGAGAACGACGGCATACGATCGTGAGACACGCTCCGGATAGAGCTTGGCGAAGAAGATGGGCGGAAGAGTAAAGACCATGGCCATGACCGAGAAGGCGGCAAAGAGCGAGACAAGCTCGCCAAAGAACGGGACGCTGACAGCGACGACGGCCGAGGCAACGACGAGCGGAGTGCGGATGACCATACGCTGACGCAGAAGCCACCCACCAGGCAGTCCATCAGGCGACGCGGGGAGAATGACGCGCTCGAGGGCGTGCGCCACCGGATTGAAGGGAACAAGATACGCGCAGGCGAGATGGGCCGACAGCGCGCTGGCCGCGATGCGTGTGAAGATTGTAGTCGGCATGTTCCAGAAGATGTCGTTGGACGGACCACCGACCTTTGATCCGTACGCCCAGTAACCGCACGCGGTGATGGTTGAGTAGACGATGGCGATGACCGTAAACGCGTAGTTGAGCGCTCGCGCCAGTGTCTGCGGCCGCGCCATCGACGAGTAGATCGACGGCAAGACAGAATGGCCGGCAAAGGCAAAGACGACTGTGTTGAAAGCAACCGGCCCATTGGCAAGCACAAGGATGGGCCGCCCACCAGCCACCGGTTTCTGGATGCCATCGGAAATGCCGTAGCCGCAGATGATGGCCCAGGTCAGCATCGATGCTGCCAGCCCGCCGTACGAGAGGAGGGCGACCTCTGAGAGTGACCGGAGCCATGAGAGTGGAATCATGAAGACGACAAGGCCGATGATGAAGATATGCGGCGAGACGCAGTCGAAGAGCTCCGACATGAGGTTGCCGAAGAGAACCAAGAAGATGGTGCACGCGCCAAAGAGGAGCGCGATCTGCAGGACGCCGACCACCACGGCTCCAGGCGTCCCGTACGCGGCGCGCCCGATGGCTGCATATGAGATCTCGTGGTTGTCAGCAGGCACCGTGCCGCCCGACTCGACGTGAACCACCGAGTCGTGCGAAGTGAAGAGCACGACGTCGTCGGCACGCCGCGGCGAGATGGCATCGAGGCAAGCAACAAGCAGCTGGGCGGTGTGGTTGGCCACTAGCGCGACGCCGACGATCATCACAATCGCCACCCAGCCCCCATCGCGCCCAGCGCCCGGCAGTGAGAGCAAGCCGGTTGAGATGGTAGTCGAGAGAAAGTTGAAGATAGCACCGGTTGTCGACGACGTGCCCTCGCCGCCGTCCCGGTTCTTGTGCCCGCCCTTGGCGGGCTGTCGCCATGAATTTACCACCAGCGGCTGAGTCTCGGACATGATCACGTTAACAGAGTTGGGCTCAGACTCAGCAACAGTGGGGATGCCTTGCGAGGTGGGGCAATGGCGCGTGGAAAAGAACACTGTTTTGTGGTGCACAGGGCACACGCTCGACTTTCCTCTTCTCCCTACTCCTTTCTATCGAACGTTCTGCACGTGAAAACATTTTTTCCTGTTGCGGAAGCGTCGTCATCCTGCCTCGCGTTGCCCGCAAAAGCTCTTGCTGCAGAGGGCTTGCAATTGTTGAAAGGGCTAGAATGGGAGGCAGTATGAGACTGGATGCAGCTGGGCTAGGCTGAGGGCTGGGGACCAGGAGCGGGGGGGGGGGAGGCTGCAGGAGCGGGAGCTTGTGCGGATGATATGACATGTGCGAGTGGTGAGTCTTTTTCGTTGAGGCGGCAGTTAGTCTGCGCTGGTCGGGACGCCCACGGGCTTGCGGCGGCATGTCCAATACAGCCATCAATAGCAAGCACTATGATATTTGCGCAGTCGTTATGCGGGTATGCGGGTGGTGTTTGGTGGAGACGTTGCTGCTCGTGCCCGCCTCGGGGCCTCGAGTGGCTGACTGTGCTAGCAGGCAAGATAACACTTCCCCGCCACCATCCACATTCAGCCCCTTCAGCCTAGTTGGAAGCGTGACCGGACCTTTGCCAATTGCCGCGGTGGAGTCGGTTATGTGGCACGGCTTGCGATGGTGCCCGCCAGCGGCGACGGATCTGCGAGCGCACAAAAAACCGCCATCGAGATGGCGTCGTACAGCCCGGTGTGTTCCTGTGCATCCTTGCGAGCATCGACTATGGCTCCGAATCCAGCAGCGGCCTTGACATCGTCGGCAAGCAGGTTGTGCAAATGGCCCGAGTTGAGGCCGGCGGCCGGGGTATCGGTCAGAAGTGGCTTCAGACGTATGGCCGGGCCGGCCGCGAGCTGAGGCCACTGCCGCCGCATCACCGCGCCATCGTTGTCCATCACCACCCACATAGCATTGCCGACAAAGCTGTCAAATGCCGCCAGCGCCGACTGCGCTTGCTCGCCATGCCCGGGGCCGAACACAGTCCCGGTCAGCCGGGCAAGATAGTCAAAGGTTGCGGCCGGCCAGCTCTCACCTGGATCGACGACGACCTCAAAAGTCTCGACAACCCTGCGGTTGGCCAGATCGTACTTGACCGCTCCGATTTGGACCACCGCAGTCTCTGTCAGCTCCTTCACCCGTGCGTATCCACCGAATTGCTCATAGGCTTGCGTCGGTGAGACGCCCTCGTCCACCACCGCCGCCTCGAGGGCATCCATGCCGGCGAACACATACTCGCAGTCGGAAAAGACCACCACTTCATCATCCCAGACTCTGTCGGCCATTACAAGTGATATGTCAGTCGAGTGAGGTGCAGCAACGTGCTGACGCGTTTCTGACCTGGCTCAGGCCTTCGCAACTGTCGATACGGACTACTACAGCAGGCCTTCTCTAATCCTTTACGGTGCGGAATGAACACATTTGGGAGCTCGAAAAGAAAGGGTGAGGTGGGCGGTGTGGGGGGGGGGGGGGGGGGGGGGGGGAGGGGGGAGTGCCGATCATATTTTTTTTTTTCATACCCCCCCCCCTCCAACGTCACTGTGCCGAGGAATGGAAGGCGAGTCGCCCCATGTCGCCCACCGCCCCACGTCCCACTTTACCAGCAGCAGCACTTGTCGAGAGACGACGCGGAGAGTCGCCCAAGCAGAAGGAGGAGGAGTAGCACGTGGCATACAGGTGGAGGAGAGCAGGAGTCTGGCATGTCGATTGTGTTTGGTGGTGGCCGTGGTGGCCGTGGGAGTGGTGGCCGTGGTGGCCGGCAGGTCGTCGCTGACCTCGCCTGGTCTGACAGCAGCGATGACCATGGTGTGTCCAGCAGCGAGACAGGCCACCATGATGACCAGGATTACCCAGACTATGATGATGAGCTTGCCCATACCTTTTGCCGTTCCGGGCTGGATGGGTCTGGCGGAGACGGACAAGGCGGAGACGGGCGAGGCGATGCGGCTGGGGACCGACTGGATGACGGGCATGATCATGGTATCGGTGGACATCATCGCCGTTCACGCCTGAGCAAGGTGGTTCCACTCAGCAGCGATGAGTCAAACGAAGGCTATTCGCTGAGGAGCGGCTGCGGCGAGGACGAGGACAGCTCGGACGGGAGCGAGAGCAGGAGCAGGGGCTGGAGTCAGCAGGGAGGGGACGGCGACAATGTACCGCTCTTCTCGGCTTCGTCGACGGACTCGCGGTCGACGGCGTACACGTATCTGTCGACGCCTCCGCGCCCGGACGCGACGCCGTCGCCATCGACCCGGCTCTCGCCGCCGCTGTTTTCGCTGGAGGAGATTGTGGCGGCGTCCGACTCGGACTCGTCGCTGGCGGCACTGTCGCCGACCATGACAGACTCGCCGCTGGCGGCGGTTGCACCGGCCTCGATGCAAGTTGGTCCGCTCTCGCCGCGTCGGCGGCAGCCGCGGCGTCAGGCCGAGGTTGAGGCGTCGACAGAGGCGGCAGCAATGGCGCTGGTGCGGTATGTGCGGGCGCGGAGTGGCGGCGGCGGCGGCGGTGGTGACGACGACGGTGAGCACGACAGTACGGTTAGGGCGCGTGAGCAGCGACTGCTGCTTATCTCGGTTCTGGACCATGTGGTGACAACGGCGTCGGGGTTGGACATGGGGCCTGGTGGGGTCTTCTCGCGGGCGTCGATCAACGCGCTTTGCACCCATCTCTTTCAGACGGGCGCGCTCGACCGGGAAGCATTCTCATCCGAGCTTGCCGAGGCACGGGCGCGGTTTGCGCACGCGCTCCCGACCACTCTGCCGAACCTTGTAGTCTCGGCGGCGGACCCGGGTGCCGGGCCGGCGCTGGCCATCGGGCGGGCGGCACCGCTGGCCAGCGCCGCGACGCACTCGCGGTATGCGGCCGAGTTTGAGGAGGTGGTGCGTCTCGGCAAGGGTGGCTTCGGCGCTGTCTTCAAGGTCCGCAACAAGCTCGATCGGCAAGAGTACGCGGTGAAGAAGGTACGGCTGCCATCGCTCGCATCTGGCCTTGTTTCCAAGTACCTCCGCGAGGTGACTCACCTTGCGCGGCTCTCGCACTCGCACGTGGTGCGGTACTACGGGGCGTGGATCGAGATGCTCCCGCCGGGCCTCGCCGTTGATGATCCGTACGAGTACGAGGAGTACGAGTACGACGACGCGATGAGCGCGCGGTCGCAGGTGGTGTGGAATGCGCCACTGCCGGCGACGTCGTCGGTCGGCGGCGCCTTTCGCAGCATCGGCGAGGCAGCATCGGTCTTTAACTCGCGGACAACGTCGTCAACGACTGGCGGCGGCTCGTCGGGCGGCACTGGCGGAGGTGACGGCGGCGCGCTTGTCCGGCGGCGGTCGCGGATCCCGTCGACGGCGCTCGCACGCGCCCACGCTGAGCCGAGCCTCATCCCGCACCTGTTCATCCAGATGGAGTTGTGCTCGGACGCGACGCTACAGCACTACCTTGAGGCGAACAGCACTTGCCCTCATCCGTTCCCGGGTCCGGAGCTTCACCGGCGGATCCGTATTGCGCGGTCGCTGCTCCATGCAGTCGCCTACGTCCACGCCTCGGGCATTCTGCACCGCGACCTCAAGCCGGCCAACGTCTTCCTCACCACCGACTGCGCAGTCAAGCTCGGCGACTTTGGCCTTGCCGTCGAGCTGCTGCCTGCCGATGTGGTCAACGCGTCGCCTACCGGCACGCCGCTCTCGTCGCCGCGGGCTGACATGGCAGCGAGCGAGCTGACGGCGGACGTGGGGAGCTACACCCGCGCGCCGGAGCAGATGGCTGGCGGACGGTACGGGTCCAAGGCCGATGTCTTCTCGCTCGGCATTCTCCTCTTTGAGCTCTTCTCGCAGTTCTCGACAGGCATGGAGCGGGTGCTTGCCATCCGGCAGCTGGCGAGCATGTGCGCGCCCGGGAGCGGCGCAGGCGACGGCAGCCCGGACGCAGCGTTTCCGACCGAGGGCGGCTGCTTTGCAGCGTATCCGCACGTTGCCTCGATCATTGCGCTGATGGTGGCGCACAACCCGGCGGAGCGGCCGTCGCTCCCGCGGCTGCTCGAGCTGACCAACGACCTCGGCGTCGACTCGGCTTCAACCGCCGCAGAGGTCCGGGTTGCGCAGCAGGCGCGCATCATCGAGCGCCAGGCCAGGGTCATTGCTGCCCAGGCCGAAGAGCTCGAGCAACTCAAGGCCCAGCTGGCCGCACTCGGCGCTGATGCCGGCGGCCCAGCGGGCGAGTAACAGCAAGAAATGGACCATGCAGGCGCGGGAGAGGTTATTTTTTATAGGATGCGGTGCACGGGAGAGAACCGCGTCCGTTAAAGCGCGTCGAGGAGCGGCTTGAGCTCGCTGCCCACGCACGCCTTCTTCAGGAACGGGTGCTGCAAGAGGAGCGTCGCATTGGGCCGGAGCGAGACGTCGACCTCGAGCGAAGCCGCGAGGAACGACTTGAACGAGTCCGACAGCGCCTCGGGGTTGCGGATCTGCGGCGTGCCGGTGGTAGCGATGAGGTACAGCGCTGGTTTCGGGAGCAAGGGCACATGGCGTGAGTGGATGGTGGGGTTGGTGGGGTTGGGGTGAAGAGGAGTGTGAAAATGTGCTCTAGATATGAAGCAGGCAGGCCGATGGGGTGCGGCGTGCCTGTGATTAATACAGAGCATCGCATCGAGTGCGGTTGATATGCGCCCCTAAGCAGAGGCTCGACCATTGAATGGCCGAGCCTCAGAAAGTGCAGGCCTGAAAACCAGGCCTGCGAGATCAGCTCGGGAGGGGCGGGGAGGAGGAGGACGAGGGGGTGGGGGGGGGAGGGGGAGGAGGGAGGAAGGGGGTGCATGGGGAAATACGTACCACGGAGCGGAGACTCATCCATGTAGGGCGGCTCCTGCTCGACCATCTCGATGCACATGATGCCGAGCGACCAGATGTCGACCTTGGGGCCGTAGGCCTTGCGCTTGACGACCTCGGGCGCCATCCAGTACGGAGTCCCGACGATCGAGTTGCGGGCCTGGCGCTCCTTGGTCAGCTGGGCGCAGTAGCCAAAGTCGGTAAGCTTGATCTCGCCGTTGGAGCCGACAAGGATGTTGTCCGACTTGATGTCGCGGTGGACGATGCCCTTGGCGTGAAGGACCTCGAGGCCGCGGAGGGTGTCGAGGGCAACGCGCGCAATCTGTTCCTCGGACATCTGGTTGTTCTCGAGCACGTCGGTGAGGGCGCCGCCCTCGAGGAACTCCATGACAATCCACAGTTCATCGTCGAGAAGAAAGGCGTCGTAGTAGTTGACAATGCAGTCGTGCTTGGACTTTTGCATGATGGCGACCTCGTTGATGAGCAGGGACAGTTTCTGCTGTTGGGCAAGTATCATCTGCTTGAGCGCCACCCGCTGGCCGGTCTCCTTGTGCTCGGCGAGGTAGACTGAGCCGGACGCGCCCTGGCCCACCCGCTCGATGATGTTGTACACGTCGCGCGGGTCAATGTCGACCTTGCACAGGTCGGCCAGCGCAACAGACTCGCGCTCCGAAAAGTCATGGTCCGGGAGCTTGGACGGGTCCACCGTCTTGCGCGACGCCGGCGATGCCGCCCCGCCGCCTGCCTTGGACCCGCCGGCGTGCGGTCGCGAGGGGACCGACGGCATGTCCACCGGCTTGGACATGCGGTTGACTTTGGGCGGACCCTTCTTCGACCCAGCCTCGCTGCCAGCCCCAACCCTTTGCGGGACTCGCGGCGGCGCCGCCGGCGAGCTGCCACCTCCGGCCGGCGCC